AGACAGACAGATAAGTGATTGCCAAACATACAAAACAAGACCACAGGAAAGCCAAGTCATTCTCAACATCCATTTTTTTTCTTCCAAGTCAGAGTCTTGCGAAACAGGACCATAGGCAAACCAAAAATCATTCTCTGTTCGTTTACAATGGCCCTAGAGAGCAGATGGATCTAACAAGTATAAGTAATACTGCCTGGCATCAAGCAACCCCTTCCTCCAGAGCTCTGAGTGAAGATAATACACATCATGAGATCCGCTATCTTTGTTCCCAGGGGAAGCTGATCCTTAGAAATAGAACCCATTTGACAGATGGCCCAAGTGAGGACATTAAGTTAACTTTGTATGTTGCTCAAAGACCTTTCAAGATTTTTCTACCTTGGAGAATTTTCATAAGTAATCTAAACATAATTGTTAAGGGCAAGTAAATTAGATAAATGTAAGTAGGATAAAAAGTTTTTAGGTGGACTTTTACAATAGCTCCCCCAAATCTTTTCAGTAACTTGAAACTTTAAAGTTTTGCTAAGATTAAGCTAAATGATGAAAATTTATTAAATATCTAGATAATTTCCAATGAAAATAAAATACTGAAACGTTAATTACTGAACATAGGTTTTCCCACTTTTGGCTTCCTTTTACCAAGGAACTAAAGGTATTTGGGTCTATTAGCTAACATATTTTGTGCTACGATGAGAAATTTTCTATAAGAAAGCACGTTTCTATGGATTACAGAAAATATTTAGAAGTCTACCAATCCACAGAATGTTAATGTAGAAGACCTTTCACAATTGCTTACTTAGTTCTCACGGGAAATGAAAGGTTTTTAATGGTTAAGAATTCTAATATATGTAATTAAAGCTACTAGAAATAAATAGGGGAACAACTCTGTATTCAAGGAAAGTAGGTTGTATGTTTTTGGTAAACCTAGTCTTCTTGATATTAAAAGTGGCAAGTTTTGCTCAGAACTATGTAACTTTATATATTTGCCTGTGAAATCTTTGTCACTTTGGTTGAACAGATAACTAAATACTGTTTCACAGTAACCCATAATCCTATTTGACTAAATGTTTTAAAACCTTTTACTACTTCTAACAAATGTTCTAAAATCAACTCCAAATGAAATCTTTTTGACCTCAAACTAATGTAGGATTTTCTAGAAGTCTCCTAAAACATTTCAAAAGATTTTTTCTCTCTCCTCATAAAAAGGGAGATGTTAAACAAATTAGGCTCATCTGATATGTTAAAATACATGGAAAGTATTGTCAAATAAGAAGTAACACTAAGCTTTCTTTGCTGTATTGCTGTAAGTATGTTATAAGTGTTCTAGAAATTGTATGAAATTCCTAAAGTCTAGGGTGTTCTGGTATAATGTTATAAAATGTTGCATGTTACAGGAATGACCAAATTTCCTTGTCAATTCTATTATAATAAACTCTCATCAGATCTTTAACAACGGGCACTTCAAGTCTTTTATAATTTATAGCTACTGTTTTACTCTGATGGTTTATCAAAGTGTTCCACAAAGTGCTTTATCTTCAAGGGGATTCGTGGAGGGGACTTTTGACAAGTGCAGATTTCTCAGGACTTTGAGATCATGGAGCAGAGCTGGGTGGGAATTTCGAGAACTAATTAAAATAAAATAAAAAAGCTTGATTCAAAAAGAGCAAGAATTAATGACATGGAACTGAATGAACTGAGGAGGATGACTATAATTTTTATCCAAACTCTGGGCTAAAAAGAGAAGTAGCTGACATTGATGTAGACTGCTTCTGCCCAAGGTGCCAGATCAAGACTTCCTACTTTAGCTAGAGATGAAACCCTTCCTTCTTTTCTTTCCTCTGGCATTGGCCAAAGCAAAATATAATGCCATCCATCGCCTGTACCTCCCAGACCACTGCTAAGGTGGATAACCTCTGGAATTTAGAGAAATATTTACTGCAGGCTACGAGGAAACCTGACTGACTCCTGGCTTGAAGGAGCAAATGCAACAATTCCTGGGAATGAATACATTAACAATACCACCTTAGTGGAAATGGACTGTGCCTGACAAGTTTTACTCTAGAAAATTGTGAGCCCAAAGTTGAAGCCCATTATTACCAGAGAGATTCCACAAAAATAAGGATCAGTGAAAGTTTCGAGAACTACTAAAGAGTGGTAGCTGCGAGTGGGCTGATGACTTAAATTATGATCACATCTCTCAGACTGAGAATTTGATCAAAAGGGAGGAATTGTTAAAAAGAAACAATAGGCCCAAAATGGAGTCACTTTTGCTAAGCCCCACCAAGACTTAATACCCAATCTAATTGCAATTTTAGCCTCTCCCAAGAATAGAATTTTAACCCAATCAGTTTGGAATTGCTGGTCAATCCTAGTGAGGTCAGCTGCCCAATAAGACCTCCTCCTACCTTCCCCCTAAAGGAAGGTGACCTTGTCTGAAATAATCCACTATTTTAACTTCCCTATCTCACCCTGTCTCTGCTTATAAAAGCCTTCCATTTTATACTGTTCCTTGAAGCACCTTTCTGCTTACTAGATGGGATGTTGAATAAAGCCAATTAGATCTTTAACTTTACTTGGTTGAATTTGTGTTCTTTAACACATTGCTATGGTGACTGAGGTTTCTTCCAGTTCTATGATTCTTAAACAAGAAAATTTCAGTTCCTTCTCCAAAGCTCAGGTGGCATTTCTGGGAGTGGGCAAGGCTCCTTCCTATAGGACGTGGGTGTCCCTGCCATAGTCAACAGCTTCTGTCTACATAATAACTAACCTCTGCATTGGCTCCTGTTCACCTGAGAGCCTCTCAATAAATGGTGTTATAAAATTATCATTGTTGTCATCTTGTTTTGCATAAGAGTAACTTGGAGGCTCAGTCATGGAGACTTGTTCAATGTCACTTGTTCAAGATCACTCAGCCTATCGGTGCGACAGATGCCATATGAACTTGACTTCTAATGCCAAAGCCTGTGCTTCTCCCTCACCTGCCGCGCTTGAGGCAGGCGGATACAACGCCCACACTTCACTCTCCTGCCCTGCTCACTTCTGCCTGCTGACATGTCCTCTGTGTAACCTTGACAGGTTACTTTAACTCTATCCCTGTTTTGTCATCTGCAAATTGGGGATGGTGATTCCTACCTCCTATCACTGTTCCGAGGATCAAATAAGTTAATACCTCTAATTCCCAGACCATAGTAAATGCCGTATACATGGGAGCTCCTCTTAGCTGCTGAACCCCTCATCCATTTAGGGAGTGAAAACTGTAACTAAAGAGACAGCCATCCCCTAAAGATGTGGAGGACATCTACCTCACATGACAGGTGGCCAATGCAATACCAGAACAAAGGAGCGGTCATAGAAAAAACCCATGTGAGAGCACCTCAGCCTCAGATACCTTGATGTTCAAAGCCAAGTGTCACAGCTGCTTCTCTCTGTGGTAAAGTCCCTGCTTTGGACATCAATGTGAGGCACGTGAGCTGAAGCAGAACCACTGGAAATGACATAACTAGAGAAAGTCTGTATCATTTTTTGAAAAAACAGCAGGTTTCTCCTTTTCCTGATAGAAATCAGTTTTGTTTTAATAGAGGGGAAAATTTTTCCCCAGGGTTTAAATTCCAAGAACCACTCAA